AGGTCCAATTCTCACTATTAACAAACCATTAACTATGACTTTTGCCTCAAGAAACTCCTAATTTGCTGCTTACTAATAGTTAGTAAGGTAGTTGCTACGTTTAGGTATTGGGTAGGATTATGTAGAATATGTGCTTTATAAGTACTAATAAACAGCCAATTTGTTAATAATAGGCATGCTAATAAAAAAAACAAGTTAATAGTGAGAATTGGTCCCTATACTAAAGTGTTACCATTTCTTTCCTTATTTAAATAATCTTAAAAAGTGTTGTAAATAGACTTTGTTTTGATTAAAATATCATTACCATTGAAGTAGAATTATTATATACAGTATAATATACATCTTTGACTTTGGGGTGATCTGACTTGGCAGGTGAGATTGAGCTGTTTATCTGGTTCACATTAGCTGTGATCAGTGTGTGTCTGATCAGTGACTCACATCAGCGTAGAGTGTGAAATAGCCCTCTGTCCCGGGATGACCCTGTGACGACGGTTGACCCCTGCAATAACGGCCCCCTGGAACTCATTAGGGGCCATGATCTCCACAGACACGACCGGCACCAGACTCACCACGCTGGACTTCTCAATGGCTGAAAACACAGGACACTCACGTGAGAGAGAGTGAATGATCTGATCATCATGCCCTGTTTGAGAGCGCCCTCTCCTGCCAGGATGAAGGAGATCTCGTTAGAGTCCACCATGTGATGAGCTCCGTCCTCCAGGACGAAACACACTCCAGATATCTTGTGTCCCGTCAGAGGACCCTTCTCACATGCTTGTCTGAAACCCCGAGGATAGAAACACACACACACTTCATCAGTGATAGAAATACTCAACCTAAAGCCAGAGTTCAGACAGAAATGATCAAGACGAAACGTGTGCGCTCCACAGAAGAAACCAGTTTGGAATGACATGACGCTGAGGGACAGTAACATTTAGGAAGTTTCTAAGAAAATGTGCTCATCCTCTGGCCATTCAAGATTAGTCCATAATCCATAATAACGCTTCCTCCAGTGAAAAAGAGCATCTGCTGTTGTCTCTCACATCAAAATCCAGCCACATATGTGTTTAGAGCTGTTTAAACAGTGCTTGATCTGTGCAGATTTCTCTCCTGATTCACACCAGAACACTTTTTCACTGGAGGAAGCGTTATTATGGATTATAGACTCTATGGTATTTGAGTTAAAAACGTCTTAATGCTGGATGTGTTTCAGCTTTTGTCTTCTCCAGATGTTAACTGATGGACTGGAGTGCTGTGGATTATTGTGGATTATTGTGCTGTTTTTATCAGCTGTTTGGACTCTCATTCTGATGGCACCCATTCACATCTATTGCTGAGGCACTGATGCAATGCTACATTTCTACAAACCTGATGAACAAACAAACTCATCCTAATCTGGGATGACCTGAGGATGAGCACATTTTCAGCAGAGTTTCATTTCATGCATGAACTATTACTTTAATAATAACACAAGTGAGATCTTTCCATGTAGCCCTGAAACCCTTATGAGGTACTTGGGAATTACTGCCATAAACTGCCATGATTTCATCTCTATTCTAGCCTGTATTTCTCAGAACAATGCTGGAATTTCATAATTGCATGGCTCTTCGTGAGATGCGAGCGGCTCACCCTCTCCACAGCGGGCACAAACTGTTTGGGGATGTTAGTCTCGACAGTCTCGTCGCTGAACTCCAGCTTTGTGTAATTCTCAAGGTCCAGTGGCTCCAGGACACCAATGACTTTACCGTACTGACCCGAGCCTCCAGACTGCTTCTTATGAGTGAACTCAAACCCGCAGCATAAAGCACCACCCATCTGCATTAGTGCTGGACTATACACATCACATATTCACTATGTATTTAACATTCTTTGGTTGGTGATATAAAATATTATATATACAGTATCTCACAGAAGTGAGTACACCCCTCACATTTTTATAAATATTTTATATCTTTTCTTGTGACAACACTGAAGAAATGACACTTTGCTACAATGTAAAGTAGTGAGTGTACAGCTTGTATAACTGTGTAAATCTGCTGTCCCCTCAAAATAACTCAACACAGCCATTAATGTCTAAACTGCTGGCCACAAAAGTGAGTACACCCCTAAGTGAAAATGTCCAAATTGGGCCCAATGTGTCAATGTTTTGTGTGGCCACCATTATTTTCCAGCACTGCCTTAACCCTCTTGGGCATGGAGTTCACCAGAGCTTCACAGGTTGCCACTGGAGTCCTCTTCCAGATGTTAGAGACCTTGTGCTCCTCCACCTTCCATTTGAGGATGCCCCACAGATGCTCAATAGGGTTTAAGTCTGGAGACATGCTTGGCCAATCCATCACCTTTACCTTGCGTTGTTTATGGATGCTCAAATCGGCCAAACCGAGAAACCACAAAGAGCTTTTATCGTGTACGAAAATGTGTTGTTCATAATGGGGGAAAAGTCAAGAAATGACTGAAAAAAACTGGAAAAGTGGCTTGTAAACCTGCGTCTGTGGTCGGGAGGAGCGGAGCCGGATAATGCTCGTGTGTGCAAATGATTAATATAAGATATAATAATATATTAAGATATTTATAAAGAAATATATAAATAGATACATGGTGACAGTCAGAATTCACTGAATGCTAAAGCCACACAGAGACAGGATGTAAATAATATATTATTGGCAGTTCTGAGAGCTTCATATCACGGAATCGTGAGATTGTGGTAAATTGAAGTGAGTGACAACTTTTTAGTGATTAGCGTTATATAAAAGCAATATTTGCTCGCTTTCTAGGCTATAATCATTTTAGAATTTCAATAAAAGTTGTTTTACGTGCTGCTAACAGGACCAACAGCCACATACCCTGTAACTTACATGCAGCACAGTTTCAGGAGTGACATATTCCACATCCCTCATATAAGTACGGGATTCACTTTCGAAATAGCTTGTTTACAATCAGGGTTAGTTGCTTAGCCTATATCCACCGCCTCAATGGCAGGCAAGTATTTAAATTTAGTTTAAAAATCACTCCTCTTCATTACATATGGATCACGTCCAACATATGTTGTGATTATAAATACCTTTGTATGATTGTAAAAACCACAGACGTAGGTTTACAAGCCACGTACAAGATAAAAGCTCCTATTGGCATCCATAAACAACGCAAAACACAGGCATTTTGAGTTTCTGCTAGTGATTCCTACGGAGAAAAATCACTTCCTGCCCTCCAGCTGCATTTCGCAAATCATCAGTGACGTCATGTGCAAACAACCTATTGGGCCCAATTTGGACATTTTCACTTAGGGGTGTACTCACTTTTGTGGCCAGCGGTTTAGACATTAATGGCTGTGTGTTGAGTTATTTTGAGGGGACAGCAAATTTACACTGTTATACAAGCTGTACACTCACTACTTTACATTGTAGCAAAGTGTTATTTCTTCAGTGTTGTCACATGAAAAGATATAATAAAATATTTACAAAAATGTGAGGGGCGTACTCACTTCTGTGAGATGCTGTATATATGTGTGTGTGTGTTTGTGGCGATAATACCGCATTCATTCCGAGTATTGACACGGTCGAGTGAGGCTGTATCTGACGGAAACAATGTAAGATTTGCAGGTCTTTTTATTTTCTCTAAGCTTGTGACAAAACTCAAACTAGTTTTTAATTTGTAGCTAATGGTAGAGTACAACATAGATTTTGACTACTGGCGCTTAACGGTCTGATATTTTTTGTTTTAAAATACGGTAAGATAGTCAGCATTTTTTATTTTCTCTAACTTGTAACAAACGTTAGCTTTTTAAAATTGTAGCATAGAAAAACTGCTGTATTGTTTAACGAACGTATCAGATAGATGGTCAGTATTCTACTTTTCTTTTCTTTTCTAACTAACTAGTTTTTAAATTGTTTAACAACACTTAAATGCTGGTCTTGACCCGTTTTTTACTCTTTTCTGGAAAAACAGTCATTACATTGTTTCTATTCCATGTATGTTTGATGCTTTTCTTGAAATGTGTGTGGGGGAAAAAAAACTTCAACAAAAACTTCCCTTTATCCCGTTTAATAACCATACGACGTTTCACATTTTAAAGTTTAAAGCACATAGTTTTGAACACTTTCAACGGCACCCACATGCAAAAACACATTCCCAAACGGTCCTAAATTCCTTTCGATCGCTGGGGTGGATAAACAGATGGGCATTTAGACGGGTGGGGTGTACATGACAGGTGTCCAGTAGGGGGGGAGGGGGTGGGATTTTTATGACCCTCATCCATCAAATTTTTGAATCCCATCTTATTTATTTAGGGCTTTTCTGAGACACATGACCACATGTGGCAGGGGTGTCCATATGCCCTCATTCACTATTCCCTACATTAGTCACTACTATAGTCCACTTGAAGGAGCGAATGAAAACCAGTGAGCATTCAGACTCGGAGTGCATTAGAAGGTCTGCCGCTTTGAACACACGAACAAGTGGTTTGGAAAGTGGATGGATGGAAGATTCAGATGCAGGCGACAACTTCCGCCGAGACATGGGTGTTCATCGGCATGACACTCACAGTGCATTATGGGTATTCTCCAGCTGTTGAGTGTACATGGGCTACACACTCATAACTGCAGTTGATTTTGAGATTGAATGAATGCACTCCATAACATCCACTATAGATCTGAGCAACACCACCCACAGATAGCTGGCTGTCCCCTCAAATAGTGCCCTATTTAGGGGTAATTTCAGCACAGCCCTGGATTACTTCGGTTCAGGTGTGTTTAATTAGGTTTTGAGCTCAACTCTGCAGGACAGCCCTGATATTATGAGTTATTCAAGTCATTCATCTTGCCGAATCAAAGCAGGAGACAACTGAAGCAGGTCAAAGATCAACAGAAACTTTATTATGTGCAATATTAAAGGTGTGGATTGTAACACTATTTTATTTTTGACACTATGTATTCGATGTTTATTCTCCAAAAATATACCTTTTGAAAAGCGAAAAAGTGAACAGCAATATCACACAGTTGAGAAAGTCGTCTTTCATGCAGTTTTGATTTTGCAAATGTTTACAGAGCAAGGTTTTGATGGTGATTACTCCAGAATAAACAACATCGATAAGTGCATTACAGAAATGTGCTGAAGGACAATGGTTTTTGCTGCTGCTCAAGTTTGTGGTGTGCAACAGGCGTAAGAATACAGTATGAGGAAACTGCAGTATAAAAACACCAGCCAGTTGATTCCTGTCAAGAGTGTTTTATTGTGAACGAGCTTTAGTGCTTCTTGCTGCCCGAGCCTTTAATGTTGAGCTCATTATAATGGCGTTGATGTCCTGCGGCCGCTTTGTCGTTTCTGTGAACACACAATAGTAACGAAACTGAGACATTATCATATTAAACAGGACAGAACTCATTTCAGTGCAACCCTATGTTCTCTTTAAAGGTGATCTTTGACGTTATAGTGTGGTGTAATATGGCAGTGCATCATGCATCAGCTGGTTTGCTCAGTTATTTAAAGAGCTTTAACTACATGCAAGCCAAGCATTAGGATGACTCTGGATGAACCACAAATATTCTGTCTAACTGTGTCAGAATGGCAGTTATTAGTAAGTTATCTAGAGGCCATGCATTACTGCTACTGTCTTGTCAAGATTCTTAACAGAATATTAAGAAGAAAACAAGACTGCAAGTAAAGCAGCATGGCAAGTATATTTCAAAATGTATTTCAGGAGCAATAAAATACATTTACAATCTAATAGTAGCATACTTTTAGGCTTTATTATTATTATTATTTTATTTAAATAAGATTTACAAGTTCACACGTTACAGACAATAAACTATTTTTTCTTCAAATTTTCTTTGAAACATACACAAAAAAATATATTAGTACAAAATATATTTATTTTAAAATTAGTGCTGTCAAACGATTAATCACATCCAAAATAAAAGTTTTTGTTTACATACAATATGTGTGTACTGTGTATATTTATTATGCATATATAAATACACACATACAGTATATATATTGAAAATATTTACATGTATATATTTATATTCATATAATTTATATTATATATAAATATATTGAATATATAAACGTTACATATTTTTCTGAAACATATACATGCATGGGTGTGTATTTATATATACATAATAAATATACACAGTACATACACATATAGTATGCAAACAAAAACTTTTATTTTGAATGCGATTAATCGTTTGACAGCACTAATTAAAATATTTTATTCATATAATTTATATTATATATAAATATTGAATATATAAACGTTACATATTTTTCTGAAACGTATACATGCATGGGTGTGTATTTATATATACATAATAAATATACACAGTACATACACATATAGTATGCAAACAAAAACTTTTATTTTGAATGCGATTAATCGTTTGACAGCACTAATTAAAATATTTTAAAACATATTTAAGCAAATACATTTTTTGCCTTGTATGTTTTGAAATATATTTAATAATCGTCAAAAACTCAAGTTTTTCACTATATTTTGTAGTGCCTTGCTGATATGAGTTCTTTGACAAGTTAAGAAATCCTGCATCCAAAGAGCGCCGATTTATGGGCTTTGTACACCAGTAGCATGTTTTGCATATTTGTGATATATTCAGTGATTGTTTGCCGCGTGGCTGACCTGTGAGTGTCTCGTGGTGCTGTGATGGCCGCTCGGTGAACCGCTCGCTGTCTCGGTGCTTCCAGACGGGACATGGGCGCAGAAGCCTGGAACCGGGACACTTCTCTCTGCCATTCCTCATCGAAGGACTGGGCCTCCGCTGCGAAGACAAAACACCGCGTCACAAACAGCCTCGCTGTGAAAGGACTTGAGTAGATGGTTGTTAGGAGGCTGCTTACTGTCCCAAATCAAACAGTCCAACGCAGGTCTTTATAAGCTTTTGTGCTATAGATTGGACTAATTTCCAGTCTGGGAAATTAGCTTTTTTTGGCACACAGCGACCTCGTTAATGTATGTAATTAGGACATGTTTGTCAATTGTCTGCAAGGTGAAAATCAGGGCCCGTATTCACAAAACATATTATCGTACCACTAAGAGGTAAGTCGCTTTGGGTAAAAGCGTCTGCTAAATGACTAAATGTAAGAGTTCTCCTAAATAGCAGTAAAAGTTTTTAGCTGAGAGTTTTCTCTTAAGCTGCTGAGACAAACTTTACTAAGGAATAGAGAGAAGTCTGAAAGAGGAATGTCAGACACACCTAGGATGCCTTGAGGGTGAGTAAAACACAGGGCCCTGATTGCTTAGAAACGTCATATTTTGTTTTAATAGTTTACGGCTGTTAGAATTTGTTCAAAACTGATATGCAAATTGCTAAGTAATAAAAATAGAGATGACTAAGCAAACGCCGTTAATGCATGAAAAGAAAAAGCATGCATTGAACGTTCACGCGACCAGAGAAACTGTCTCTTTAAATGCCTCCTCACTTTCATCCATGTTCTGGAAGTCCTGGTTGAGCTCCTTCTCTCCGGTTTTCCTGTTCTCTTTCCTCTCGATGACGTGGCCTCTGTCCTGGATGTGATGGGCGATGGACATCTTCTGCAGTCCGCTCTCAGAGTCCTTCAGACTCCTCCTGGTCTCCTTTATCTGAACACAGCACAAACCAGCAATCATGACACTGATCCGCAGGAGGTGCTGCGGTGTGAGTGTTCGAGAGCAGGACTCACTCCTCCAGGAGCACAGCGCGTCTGAGACGAGGCCTGGAAGACTTTGGCCGGCTCGTGTCCCGCTTTAGAGTACGTCATGACGGAGGAAGAGGAAAACGAGTGGCTGTTGGGGTCTGAAGGCATGTTCTCCTGCAAGAAACAGACTTGAAATGCTCCTCTCTCTAATTCACGCAGTGTTGCCAACTAATCTTCAGAGAAAGTTGCTAAAGGAAAGTTGTGATGTCATTGCGTAATCACAACATCAAATCTCAGCAAAAACTATATTTTATATACGTTAATTTAGATTTGTTTGAAAAATTATATGCATAATATAATATAATAAAATATGAATAACTGTATTTCAAATACATTGAATTATTGAACACTTACACATTTTTGAATGATTACAATTTAAGTATTTTAGTAAACTAGTAAAACACATTCTCCACAATTATGCTTTAAGCAGTGTATTAGTAGTTAGTTAGTATGCTACACTCTAAGAAGAGTCTGTAAAAATAGGGCACAGTCTTCTCTGTTAAGTTAATATGAAATAATTTTCCGTATTGGTTTTTTACCTGCATTTTAAATTATGCATTGTTTTCGGGTTAGAGGGTTACAATGGATAATGTCTTGGAACATTACTAGTATCTTTTCCATTTTTCTTACAGTGCAACTGATCAACAATCGCAGGTACAAGCTACTAACAACATGCATCATAAATGAACAATTATTCAATTATTATTATTAAATTGAACAATTGCAAACAGCAGCTAAATTAATTCACGTGATGTGTGTAGTGCTAGGCATCTGTGGTTTCCTCTTTTTGTGTAGTTTAGATGGAAAATGTGTGCCTGCAGTCACTTATCAAAAGTTGCCAAATAAATTTAAAAAATTGCTAAATTTGTTGCTAGGTGCTTTTGGAAGAAAACGTTACTAGGGTACTCTGAAAAGTTGCCAAATGTAGCAACAAAATTGCTAAGTTGGCAACACTGGTTTCACAACAAAGTTTATTTGTGATAAGTGCAACTTAATTGAAGATTAGAAATCTTTTGGCAATCAGAATCACTGAATTGCTTACAACTGCCGTAAATATATAGTTCAGTCATGAAACTCTAGATGGCGCAGGCTGACGGGGGGTTAACGTAACTGATGATATTCAGAGAGTTAAGCGACTTGGCACAAGCTGATTGGTTCATGCTGCATATGCAGCCAATGAGCTTACTGCCTTGCATTTATAGCTGGCTAGCATTCACTTGAGATTCCATAGTTCTCTGAAACCCTCCACCTTCCCCAGCTCCACCTGTATAGATCTGCTACGGGGTTATTTTATATGCTATTTGTGCAGCAGCAGTATGTCTTAAATACTCACGGCACCGTATCGCCATATGCATTGGCAGTAGCAAGTTCCTGTACTTGCTTGCAGCAGCAGCAATAATCTACAACTACAGCAATAACCAGCAGCAGCAGCCATTCAGCAGCAGCAGCGAAGCAGATCTGTTCTGCCAAGACCAAATACATTAACATTGTCACATCCATCACCATGCTGAAATGTTCCGAGAGTTGTCATGATTGAACTACTGATAACTATGAAAACAGCTCATTATAAAAACCCATTTGAAAAGTCCTTGCATGCAGTCAGTTTAATCATTCTAATCGGTGGAAGATGAAGCATATAAACTGATTGACACTATTAAAGATGTCAGACTTACAACATTTCGATGCATGGCCTCCATCCTGTTCCTCATGCTGTCCATCATAGCCAAAGGATTGCTAAAGAAATCCAGCTCCTGTTGACATTTATCACACACATTTAGTACCTTCACATGCAAGTGCATGAAGCATCTGGCAATTCAGAACAGTTTTACAGCATCTAGAGCCTGAGATGTGTGGGAGAAACTAAACTGTTGAACATGTTAAGCAGTCCTGTAGTGTGACGAATTACACATCAATGTGTTTCCAAACTTTTTACACATGGAGTTTGTATAACCTAATTAATTAATAAAATAAAGTAGTACAAATTATAATAATATTTGAAAGACTACATGGAGCATTTGTTCATTTAAAAATGCATTTGGCACACCAGGACTATTGAAGTGAACTGCAAAAAATGACATGGAGTTAAAGCCAACAATTTCAAAGTCTTTATCTAAACATGTAGAAGCATCACATTTATAAGTGTGAAAACACAACTAGAAAAGATGAGAACTGAAAGGCTAACTAAAAACACAGGGAACTAAATAGTGAATAGGTGCAACTAATTACACACCATGGAGACAAGCAAGCAGAAATCAGCACTGAACTACAAAGAAGCACAGAAACATAGGAACAAAATGAAAACTAAACACAACATATTCCTGCCAAAAACCTTTGTCTGTTTGAATGTTTCAGTAACTCTTGGTGCTGCGAGCTCTGAATGACTCCCAAAATTGGTAGCTGTCACCTCTGGTTATGGCGTCTAATAATGGAGAAGCAGCTCGAGTTTCTCTGAAGGTTTAGGACAGCACTGCCTCAGCAGTCAAGCCGTTTAAAACCATCATCACTCCTCAAGCTAATAAAGCCCCTGGAGAGCGCGGCTCGGCTGTCTGCTCGCTGTGTATTTCGGGTCGGACGGGTCATGTACGCTATTTTGGGTGGGCTGTGTTTAGAAGACACAGGCCTGAGGTCACGACCCATTTATGCTGCGTGCTATCACAGAAGAATGATTCAACAGACCCACGGGGGAAAATGAGGCACACAGGAGAGCTCTCAGAAGAGGACTCAGTTCTGGGAATGATCACGACGCGGCCTTAACACTGAAAACACTTCTCAGGTTACTCTGTTACTAAATGCCCATGTGACTCACAAGCTGCTGCGCAACATTGCCAAATGTGTAATAGTATTTTATATGATCAAATGATGATGACCATGTGAAGTAAGCAACCAAAAGGGAAATGTCATAGTCCAATAATTGTTCACTTTTCACAACTATTCTAGCTAACAGTGAATTAGTTTAGTTAACTGCAAAAAACTACTCAAGCACACTGTCCTGTCTGAGAATGTGTTACTCGACAGCGGTGATTTGTTCTGCCCATGGGCGACATTTGACTCTTGAGTCGAGGGGGGGGGGCGGGGGGGGGGGGTG